CCAGATTGTACACTATATCGTTCCCATCCACTCTATGTGTTCATGCACACAAATAAGTAACTTATTTTTCAAATTATCGTCAAAATAAGTAATTTTTTTTACTAGGCCAACGGCATCTCTAGTGGACATAACGATGATATCAGCACAAGAAACCACTCCTGGACAGATTGCTTCCACAGCAGCTTTGGCTGCATCAATTATTTCATAGCCTCGAACACTAAGATTAGGGACAGCAGTTTTCTCTGTGTTATTTCCATCCAGTAGGATTGATGCATCACACCCCTAGGGTTACAATTCATATGAACAACTTCAATTATCTTATACTTAATTTGCATTTTGTTCGGAGTCGATATGGTTAAACCGTTATAGGTAGTTGTAAATTATTTTGATTTCATTACATCCGCTTATCAATGAATCCAACTTAATATCCTAATTTCTAACCGCTCAAGTTTTTAATTAAGAAAGGAAAAAAAGAGAGAATTAATTAATTTATTTGTCTTTAAATATAAAAAACTCCAAATATTTAGGGCTTATTTGATTCCGTTATTTCAAAACTCTCTTCTTTTCAACCACACATTCTTCAATGAAATAATATTACACGCAAACTCAAAACTTTCCTTATTTTCTAATCACGCATTCTTCATCAATCTATTATTCCAAAATACATTCAATAAAAATGGAGTTCAAACAGGCTCTTACATTAGGCCTCTATTTGGTTTGAAAAAAAGAAAATTAGACTTTTAGTAGATTTTAATAAAAGTTTTTGAAATGTATAGTTGAAAAGTTGTGAATCTCATGGAATGTATAGTAGAAAATGAGTTTGAAGAGAAAACTAATTTTAAGAAATAGAGCCAAACATGGGCTAAATATTCTTACATTGACAAAGCAGTCATGAAAATGCATGTGGACGAGAGCAGCTACAATGGTATGATCCCTCAAGTTTCTTTGCCATTTTTATTGTTGTTTTATGTCGTCTCGGCGCGATAAATTCGCAGCCTCTAATTCCTGCACTCTTCATATTTGGAGATTCAGTCGTTGATGTGGGAATTAATTGAAACAATTGTCAAAGCAAATTTCCCACCTTATGGAAGAGACTTTGTCAATCAC